GTCATACATATGACACTTTGTTCATGAATGCAATCCTGTTTTATCATTGGGAAAACATATCTATTCATAATATCAAACACATTGTGTGATTAAAAACACTGAGACACACACTTGATAACACTGACTTACAAAACGTGACACACATCAGCCAGACATAAACAGACCTCAGTTTAGACATTTTCAGAACTTCAGTATGGGGGTAGGAAGAGCAAGATGAAGAAGAAGACAAGGAGAGAGGAGGAGGACATGGTAAAAGATATTTCTGATGACATTAGAGCAACTTTGAAGGATCATCCGATAAACCATGGCCTCACACTGAGGAAAGCAGAGAGTCCAGACACAGCTTCATCATCAGGACCTTCAGATGGAAACATGTCTCCAACTCTCTACTGCAGACTGTATCTACAGTATTTACTGTACTGTATCACATGTACTGTAACTCTCTACTGCAGACTGTATCTACAGTATTTACAGTACTGTACTGTGTATCACATGTACTGTATTACAAGTTGGCTATTGCTCTTTTTAAAAAATGTTTTGTGAAACAAACAATAAGGTACATAGTACTGTGCCATTACAGTTTTTTCCTGTTGTTTGAACCCACGCTTAGACCAAAGCTACATATCCTGAAGCTTTTTTACTGAACCTAAAACACAGTCTTACCATTCCCTAAACAAAAGTACTGCTTGGCACTTTATTTTCATTTCTACAACACACTTTCTCCTTCTGCAACACACATTCTCCTGCTCACTACACACTGTCATACATAAGACACTTTGTTCATGAATGCAATCCTGTGTTATCATTGGGAAAACACATCTATTCAATATACCAAACACATTGTGTGATTAAAACACTGGGACACACTTGAAAACACTGACTTACATGCGACACACATCAGTCAGACATAAACAGGCCTCAGTTTATCAATTTTCAGAACTTTTAAAGTATGAAGGCAGGACGAGCAAGAGAGAGGAAGAGGAAGACAAGGAGAGAGGAGGAGGACGTGGTTGAAGATATTTCTGATTATATTAGAGCAACTTTGGTGATAAACCATGGCCTCACACTGAGGGAAGCAGAGTCCAGACACAGCTTCATCATCAGGACCTTCAGATGGAAACATGTCTCCAACTCTTAGACTGTATGTACAGCATTTTCTCTACAGTATCACATGGACTGTAACTCTCAACTGCAGACTGTACCTACAGTATTCACAGTACTGTACTGTATCACATGTACTGTAATGCAAGTTGGCTTTTGCTCCTTTTGAAAAATAGCTTTGGGAAACATACAATACAGTAAAGTACATAGTACTGTACCATTGAAATGTCACAGTACTTTGGACAGTATTCAGTACTGTAAAAAAAAAAACCTTTAGTAACAATTTGTGTTGGCCTATTTCTACAAAATTACTAAACGTCCTTCTCAAGGTGCTCCACAGCTGTTTACCAACAGCAGGAACTTTGTGAAAACAGTCTGAGAAGGGAACATGATCCATAATCCCACTCACGTACAATTGCTTTGTTTTACATCATACATCATCAATTTATTTATGTGTTACTTCATTTACACAAATGCAGAACAGTATACTGTAGTACTGTGATGTACAGTATACTGTAGTACTGTGATGTACACTATACTGTAGTACTGTGATGTACAGTATACTGTAGTACTGTGATGTACACTATACTGTAGTACTGTGATGTACACTATACTGTAGTACTGTGATGTACAGTATACTGTAGTACTGTGATGTACAGTATACTGTAGTACTGTGATGTACAGTATACTGTGTAGTACTGTGATGTACACTATACTGTAGTACTGTGATGTACACTATACTGTAGTACTGTGATGTACAGTATACTGTAGTACTGTGATGTCAGTATACTGTAGTACTGTGATGTACACTATACTGTAGTACTGTGATGTACACTATACTGTAGTACTGTACTGTAAAGTATACTATAGTACTGTGAAAGTAGAGTATACTGTAGTACTGTACTGTAAAGTATACTGTAGTACTGTGATGTACAGTATACTGTAGTACTTTGATGTAGAGTATACTGTAGTACTGTACTGTAAAGTATACTGTAGTACTGTGATGTAGAGTACACAATACAATACAATACAATTTATTCTTGTATAGCCCTAGGTCACAACAGAAGTCATCTCAGAGGACTTAACAAAACCATTGAAATCACCAACACAGGTCAGAGAATCAACAGTTAAAACACATGAAGAATACAGTATAAAGCACACACAGAAGAAAATGTCCATACATGTTGTAGAATGCTAAAGTGTCCTGATCATCACCAATCCTTTCTGTTGGACACTAACTGTCCAACAAGACCCTCCTGCATCGACAAGGAAAAACTCTTAAAAAACCCAGAGTATACTGTAGTACTGTACTGTAAAGTATACTCTAGTACTGTGATGTACAGTATTGAGTTGATATTATTTGTAACCTTTCAGTACTACTGACAACCAAAACAGTTCCATTGATGCTTCACAGAAAACTAAGTGATAAACAGAATAAAACAGTGAAAATGACTGCAGTGTTTTACATAAAGTACTGTAGTGTGTTGCTTCCAATCTGAAAGTGTGTTCACGCGATGCAAGTGTGTAACATTTTGTCCTCAGAGTTTCATTTCGACAAATGATTGTTTATTTTTGATAGTAGAGTTTGTGTTTTGATAAAGAAGTTTCATTTTGAGACAGATGTGTTTGGTTTATGTCTCAGTGTTGTGTCAGGTTCTCTTGTGTTAAGAGTTTTGGGACTATGAGCAAAATTTTGTTCAAGCAATAGGAAAAAACTAGATGTCATAGTACTGTGTACAGTATACAGTCCTGTAGCAAAAAAAGAACTAAACCAATTGTAAAAATGTGTGGGTGCACATTTATACAGAATGACTAGAAGACCTTCTGGAGGTGGAGGAGGTCAGCAACTGTTCACAAACAGCAGGAACTTACCTTTGGGAAAGAGTCCGAGCAGGAATCATGATCCATTATCTACACACGCACAACTGCTTAGTTTTACATCAGAGTTTTTTTGTGTTACTGCATTGACTATAATAATAATAAAAAAATATTATTATTATAAAACACTGCAGTCTTTCATTTGCACTGTTTATAATTCTGTTTGTCAGTTAGTTTTCTGTGAAGCTCAATAGAACTGTTTTTGTTCTCAACTAAGGTTTACCAACAACCGATCATGAAAGTACTAATATATCAACTCAATACAGTAGATCACACTGTGATCTACTGTATACTGTAGATCACAGTACACATTACAGTACAGTCAGTGCATTAAAACTAGGAAATTGTGTGTGTGTGAGATTATGGATCATGGTTCCTGCTCAGACTATTTCCGCAATGTTCCTGCTATTGAGTGAACAGGCGTTACCGACCACCTCGAGAAGGTCTTCTAGTCATTCTGTATTAATATGCAACCACAATTTGCTACTATTGGTTTAGTTCTTTTTTACAGTACTATGTAATTTACATAACCAGATTTTGTAATCCTACAAAATCTAATCTTTCATTTGGCCCTTAGTGTTTATGAAAGATTGGGCTCTTAGCTTTAATCTGCAAAAAACGGCTTGTTTTTACCTTGAGCAATTTGTCATAGAATATTATATATATAGTTTAATCCAAAACACAGGTCTCTCGATTCAAACCTGGGTCGTCGCGGCGCAAGCGCTGCAATTTAACCGCTAGACCACTATGACATACTACTCTTCTATGACTCCAGGCTGGTAGGCTTTTTAACCGTTAATGAAGAACGTGACAAGTTTTGCATCAGACGAGAAGTTTTTAACCGCCAACTCGTCACTGCAGGTAATTGTGCGCGTGCACAATTGCGCAGTGCTTTTAGGGTCTCAGCTCACAGACATTTCTTTCCTGCGCACACAATGAAAATCCAGCACAAACGACGCGGGAGCATATTTTAACAGTATGTGGACCACGGTGGATCTGCGCAGGCTTCATTCTCAAAAAAAAAAAGAAAAAGTCGGAGCCTCTCTGTCAGTGACCATGTGGTACACTGTCCGCGAGTTTGAAGCTGAAGCTGCGTTTGATCCATGTGTCAAGTAGTAGTGTTCAAGCAATAGAAAAAACTTTAACTGTAATTGTAATAAACTTAATTCAATGTGCTTATGTGTGCAGAGTAGTTTAGTTCTTGTCCCATGGCTAAAGGAAACTTTTTCCAGCACCTATGGTATGCCACCTTTTACTCTTCGTACAAAGAGGTTTTGACGTTTGTCAGGAATGAAACAGACAGAGACCGATCGTGGCGCACCAAAGCTCTGGAAGTTTATTTAGGCTTCTACGTTGAGTAAAGGATAACATTAGACATTAGCTTGTTTGCATCATTGCCCCTTAATAGTGACTTGTGTGTACTGCAATCACTGTTTAACGGAATTGCTGATTACATGTAACATGTAAGTTATGCACATCCTAAATACAGGCTTTTTACCACTGATTAAATCAGGTAAAAGATGAAATGCACAGAACACAGTGGAAGCTTCTTCAGTCTCGCCTCAGGCCGATGAGGTAACGCTGGCATTTTCACTCTGACCTTTTGTAGCAGCATTCCCTGTCAGAGGGTACAAGTACGAGCCCGTGAGAGCACATCACACTCTGGAGATGTAAGAGAGAGGCTCATGCACAGGCAGGCCTGCAGAATCATAACCCATGGTGACAGCTCTGATTCTAAGATCACTGAAAGCTGCAGTTTGGAAAACGTGCTATGTCTTCTACGTCATTCACACACTTTTTCTCATTCTGTGAACACATCAGATTACTAATTATTACGTTTGAAATAGTAGTTGCAACTTTTGAAAATCAGGTATCCCAGCTTTAAAGTATATTAGTGCTGGATTGTTTATTTGTCCTTAAAATAGCTTGTGCTCATGTATGCTTGTGTTGTACTGATGTATGCTTATGTTGTGCTCATGTATGCTTGTGTTGTGCTCATGTATGCTTGCATTGACCCTCAGGGAGAGATCCAGCAGCTGCTCATGGTGGATGACCCCCGAGCGGCTGGGAACTACTGTCAGGAGTATATCCCAGACTGTGACAGATCACTGACCTACAACTCCATCCTGGTGGAGCCAGAAGAGGTGAGGTTTGAATTCTTTGGAGCCTCTGTCCGGGGGTGTGTGGAGGCAGAGGTGAGGCCCAAACTCTCTAACGCTCTGTTAGAGAGTTCGGCACTGTGTAGAGGAGACTGCGGCCATTGTTGCACATGTGGTTGTTTTGGAGAGCTTTTGTTTGGCAGGGCTTCTAATTGTAAGGAGACTCTGAAACGGTTTCCTCTCCTGGAGTTATTAACGTCATATGGATCACATTCAACTAATTGTGAGCATTTGTTTTTTGAATGTGTCGTATTGTTGATGTAACAACAGCAGAAATCTATCATCAATAACAAAGCTTCCTTTACACAAAGACAAACACGTTTGAAGCAGTCCTGAATTCATTCACCCATGTCCCACCCCTCCAACAGGACAGCCACCGTCTATCAAGGGCAACAGTCTACTGTGAAATCCCCAAAGCACTGCACACTTTTAGGCTGCGGTCACATGCACAGCCTAAAGCCTGGTTAAAGTGGGCCTAGGCCCACTTCGCGATTAGATCCAGGCTTTAGGTGCTCTGTGACCACGGCAACTGGGCTTGAGGCAACGGTTGCGGCTTTGAGGTGGGCCCTTTGCATGCTTCTAAAGCCCTGTGGGAGTCGGTGGAGAAAGTCTTGTGGTCGGCTCAAACCCTCGACCTTCAGGCTCAAAGGCCAATGCTCTACCAGCTGAGCTACATTTGCCCAATAACACTTCAGACGTTCAAGAATAAGACCCTGGAACTGAACTGGACTTCAGACTGAGCAGTAATATTTTCTTACAGAAACTTGGCTTATGGATTATCATGCCAACTCAACTCTTACCTCTGTACACCAACATCAGAGCTGACAGCAGCAAAATTAAAATATTCTATAATAAATATTGTCTGTCTGCAGCATTTAAGGGCTGAAACTCTGCTCCAAAATTCTTCACTGGATATGTTCGGCAAGCTTGGGCTGGATTAAACTTTAATGTGAGGGGAAAAAAAGAGGAGACAATTGACACCACCATCTATGGAATCAATTTAGATCCACAGAAAGAAGGTCCTGTCCTGAGATAGCAGCCACCACACCCTGATGGTTTGAAGGCCCAGATTTTCTCAAGGCTGTCTCAACAAGACTCTTTCAGTTCCATTCAGACTTGCATGCTCCACTTTTATCTTGAAAATGTATACAAATCAGACCAGTGCCTAAATGTCCTGATGCAAATACACCCAGGTCACATACATCTCCGTACAGTATGTGACCTGGGGGTGGTGGAGGATGAGCCTCATTTTGTTTTGTATTGTCCACTTTACTTTGAATATCGAAAAATGTTATTTGAAAAAGTAAATGCTTCTAATCCAGAGGTCTTTTGGTGCCCTGAGGGAGAAATTATGAACTGGATGTATTGCCATGAAGTTTTTGCCTTTGCTTCTTTTGTTGCTAAAGCCTGGGAGAGGAGACAACAGACTCTGTACACTGTATGAGGCTCCAAATTGTAAATTCTTTTCTGTTTTTCATGTATGTATATGGTCTGTAGCCATCAGATGTTGTTGTTAGTGTCATATAAGCCCATGTGGGCTGGGCACTTTTGTGCATGACACTTAAATAAATAACAAACTCAAAAAAACTACACCCAATGACATTCAGCCCATTGCAATAAATAATATACTGAGCTAAACTATGGAGCGAGTGTTGGACATTGGACAACCACATGACATCTTCAATGACCACTCTGCTAGATCCCCTCCAATTTGCATACAAAAAGACACAGATGATGCACTTTGTCTCTGTCACCAAACACCTGTCATAACTTCCATGAAAAAACAACTTTTCAAGAGACTGATTTGCAGGAGGTATCCGGAATAGATGCCCTAGCCACATAAACTGGTTCCTCTCGACGTGGAGAAGCAGCGGCTCTAATCCGAGCTACTCCCTTGTGGCTGAGCTCCTCACCCTATCTCTAAGGGAGCGCCCAGCCACTCTGCAGCAAAGGAAGCAAATTTTGATCGCTTGCATTTGCGATTTTGTCTTTTCGGTTATTACCCAAAGCTCATGACCACAGGTGAGGAAGGGAACAAAGATTGACCAGTAAATCTAGAGCTTTGCATTTTGGCTCAGCTCCCTCTTTACCACAACGGTCCGATACAGCAATCTGTCAATCTCACTCTCCATCCTCCCCTCACTCGTGAACAAGATCCCGAGATACTTGAACTCCTCCACTCTAGAAAGGACCCCTCCACCTTCCACCTGTCCGCAAATAGCAGAGATGAAATTCTGATCTCTTCTAGCCACTGGCTGTGCCTAGAAATTCTTGTGATGGAGCGATATTAGTTTTCTCATTAGTAACATGGTAAATTATATATTATTTAATAAACTAACAATTTATTATGGACAATAATAATAATAATAATAATAAATTTATTATAATCAAGCCTGAAAGGAACAGCATTTGACCGAGCACGAGGGAACTGAGCTCCTTTAGCGTCTCCTTTGTGAAGCCTGTTGGAGTCTGCAGACACATGCATTGGACACAGATCGTATTGCGAAACGTCTAACCTAGGATGTTCTCAAGTTCCCTTCTGATGTTTACAACAATTAAATCCAAGATCTTTTCTTCTGACTGACCAAGTCAAGACAATACATACACGATACAAGATAATGAAAAATGATACATATATAGGAGGTTTGCATTATAACTGTGCTGTGTGTCCTCAGCTGGAGCGAGTTCCAAAAAAACGTGTGGTGGAGGAATTTGAAGACTTTGACTACAGTGAACTCTATGATGACCTTGCAGTATCCACAGTGACTGTAGGACCCAATATCACAGAGTATGAGGTATGATGAGACACAAAGAGACAGAGGGTGTGGCCAGTTTTAGACTCATGTTTGTCATTGTTTGAACAGATTGTAGAGTATGAAGACTATGACAACTCTACAGGCTACTACCAGGAACATGAGTATGAGTACGAGGAAGAGGGCCGCCACGGGCCTGCGGAAAGGGAACAGGCTTATACCCTGGGCCTGGAGGTACACTTTAAACCTATTTAAGTCTTTAACAGAAGGAGCTCATGGCACTAAGTGTCCTGTACGGCTTGCTATTTTTCCATAAGAATATTCCAGAAAAAGGAGAGAAGGGAGAGCCAGCTGTATTTGGAGTGGTGAGAAATGATACACACATGTCTTTGATAAGTACAATAGTCTCTACTGTAGTTCACTGTAACATAGACATTATTTGAATATCATTTTCTCAGGGGACACAGATTGTGGGAGCTGCTGGACCCCAAGGCCCTCAGGTGAGATTGTACATTTGTTTGTTTTTCAGCTGGATATTTTAAGTCAATCTATGAGTTGTATCTGTTTGATGACAGGGAGAATCTGGTCCTTCCGGAGTGACAGGGCCTGTGGGCCCTCGCGGAGACCCTGGTGAACTGGTGAGAAGAGTGTTCTTGCACAGTGTGTGATCAGCTCTCTAACATGTGGTCCTTTAGGGCCCTCCTGGCCGGCCTGGTCTGAGTGGAGCTGATGGGATCCCTGGTCCTCCAGGAAACATCATGCTCATACCGGTAAGTCCCGTTCTGTCAGCCCTGGGCAGTATGCTGCTGTAATTCAAACAAACAACATGAGGAATGTTGTCTGTACCCTGAACATATATATGTATATATATATATATATATATATATATATATATATATATATATATATATATATATATATATATAATATATATATATATATACACACAAACAATTAAAATTTGTAATCAAGTTAATTACAGCTTAAAAATTATCTAATCTTAACTAATCGCATTTCAAACTATTGGGAAAATTATGCCATATTTTTTCTGTAAATGGTTTGAATGGAAAGATAAATGACAACATAGTGTACATATGTACAAACAACAATAAATCCACATAAAATGGCAATAACATTATAAACATTCTGTCTTTCTGTAGTAGACACAGACCAAAACTATTGTTTGTTACAGGGACGAGAATGGACATTTCCAAAAAGTCTGAAATGCAGAATGTCATTGAAAAATTTACGTACCACAACTTTAATTTAGCAAGTTAAGTTGCGTTTCAGGAGGAGACACAGGGGGGACTTGGACACTTCACGAGGCTCCAGTCCAGCTTCAGCGGTGCATTTATTCCATGCACAGGTTACGCAAAGAGATGCACACTACAAGCAGAGAATAGGTCTGTGCGTGTGTCTGGTCTTGGATACATGGTCACGTTACAGCAGCGCCATTTGTCGTGCCGTTGTCAAAGCGGCGCACAGCCGCTGGAGGTGGGCCCTGCGGTCACGCGTGTATTCTTGATTCCCAGAGGACTTACCTGCTCTGTCGCCACACATGCATGTGTCTGCGGCATTCTGAGTGTCATTATGGAATGCATGGGCGGGTCATTCGTCAACACATGCATCAAATGTGTTAATTTTTTTAATGCGATGAATGAAAACAATTATTGAACGTGCGTGATAATTTTGACAGCCATGACAGTCATGAAAAGAGTCTTTTCATGACTCTTGACTGTAGATTTACACCCAGGCTGTGTATGTAGCCCATACATTTGACCTATAAGGAAAGTGGTGGGGTGCTGGGCCAGATGACCTGGCCTCCACAGTCACCGAACCTGAACCCAATCCAGATGGTTTTTGGGTGAGCTGGACCACAGAGTGAAGGCAAAAGGGCCAACAAGTGCTAAGAATCTCAGGGAACTCCTTCAAGACTGTTGGAAGACCATTACCTCTTGAAGCTTATCAAGAGAATGCCAAGAGTGTGCGAAGCAGTAGTCCGACCAAAAGGTGCTACTTTGAAGAACTGAGAATATCTAACATATTTTCAGTTGTTTCATACTTTTGTATGTACATAATTCCACATGATTTGATTCATAGTTTTGATGCCTTCAGTGTGAATCTACAATTTTATTAGTGCCCTTGGTAATCAGTGCACTAGGGGCAGTGACCCCGAAGCTGGAGGAGTGGTTACAACAGATCGCTGGAACAACCTTGGAAATCTCGGTCCAGAAATGTGCAGTGCTAGGTACAGCAAAGAGGGTAGAGGAAGAAGAGGAAGAAGGCTACTTGTGTTAGAGACGAGGATAGACCTATAGTTCCCTGGGATGGACTTGATCGCAGCCTTGGTGAGAACGGCCAACAAACTTCAACGAGTTGCAGAAGAACAGGACCTTCTCTGTTTTGTTCATAATACTGTATGTTCCTCCTCAGATGAAAATAACATTTGATGTTTAGCATTCAATAAAAATAAATAAAACGTTCACCCAAAATACTTGTTTAGAGCCAACTGAAAGAATACAGTAACCAATGTAAACTTGAGGGCTTTAAGCTAAACAGAGAGTGCTTTTCCAGCAAAAACAGTGGGAGCCAGCAGCCTGTCATGGCGTCCTTCCTGAACCAACAGAGTTGAACATTTATGTTGAAAACACATAGGACTAGCTTACTGAAGTGCAGTAATTAAATTGCATCGCTTAATTTATTCATTCACATAATAATAACAACATATAGTAACACTCTGCCACTCACCTTTTTCTGAAACTCAAAATTCAAAAATTAAATTCAAGTAAGAGTGTAGAAGAGTAAAATAAGGCATTCTGATGTCCAGCCACCCTTTCTTAGAGCTACTGAAAGAATACAGTAACTATTGTAAACTTGGGGACTTATAGAAAGTGCTTTTCCAACAAAAAATAAATAATGAAAATAAACATTTAGAATTCAACAATTATGTTGAACATAGGCCTGGCTTTCTGAAAATTCATTCACAAATAGCAAATAACAACTTAGACTCGGACACTTTCCTTCCCCCTTAAGAATACTGTCTGTCTCTTTGTGTGTGCTTGTGAACATATGCCTCCAGCCCGAGTTGTCATTCTCCAGTGACTGTAAACTAGCGCAGCTAGCGTGTTCGCCGATGCGGAAGTACCGTCTAATAATAAAAAAAATGTATGGCGCACCTCCGCGAACACATACTGCTGTTATATAAAGTCTATGGAAGGTCTCTGGACACAAAGACGCTGCAGAGCTGCATTATTGGAGAACAACTTTACACAAAAAGCCTCTAGCTTAACTCCGTTTGCATCAAAGCACTTCAGTATACTTCTGCCGGGCGCCACCGCAGCCCAGGACCTCTGGTCTGAACACCCCTCGTGTCTGTACGCCTAAGATGGCACTTGCGTTGCTACTACTGGTACTAACCCTGCCATCTTTGTTTTGTGTTTTGAGTCTGAGGAATGACGCGTATATTTTGCGTCAACGTATTTTTTGCCTTGATGTCATCGATTACGTCAACACGTTGTCCCAGCCCTAATCCTGGATAAAGTGGCGGTAGTATCTGGTCAGGCCAAGAAACTGCCGGACATGTTTCACGGTAGTTGGGGTGTTGAATTCCTTCACTGCCTCTTGTCCGCGTCCGGTTTAACACCTGAAGACGTGATGCGGTAGCTGAGTAAATTGAGTTCTTTGAGACAGAACTGGCACTTTTTGACCGGCCAGCAGATTGGAGTCCCGCAAGCACCTCCTCGAGGTCTGCCAGGTGGAGCTCAAAGGTGGGAGATGCAATAACAATGTTCTCAAGGTATACAGCACATGTTTTGTAAATGAGACGAGCAAGTACAGAGTTCATAAGTCTTAGTCGCGGGCGCATTGCAAAGCCCAAAGGGTAATACTCTAAACCGGAAAAGGCCACAATGTGAGATAAAGACGGTTTTACTCCAGACTCTTCAGCAACCGCGACCTGCCAATAACCTCGCGCTAGGTCGAGTTTTGTGATATATTTACCCCTTGCTAGAAACTCCTGTGACTAATCCACACGAGGATATGAGTCCTTTTCTGGTTGAGACCTCTAAAATCAACAGAAAATCTTGGGTCTCTGGCTACTCTGTTAACAATGACCACATGAGCTGCCCACGGACTAGTGGAAGGCTCAATGATATTGTCCTGTAACATTTGTTGTACTTGTTCCTCTATCACCCGTTTCTTAGCAGGCGACGTACGATATGGTGGGAGATTCACAGATTTAGCATCCCCTGTTTCAATGACATGTTCAGTTAGTGATGTTCGACCAAGGTGACCATCAAACATTGGTCCAAACTTGGTGAGCATCCTGAAAAGACCCTTTTTGTCGTTTTCGGTTAAGTTGGCCTCTGACATTTTTGTTTCAAGGTTGGAGGTCAGTGTGTCCATTGACATAATAGATAAAGTCATATCCGTGAAATCAGCTGGACTGTCCTCCTCATCCATGAGCGGGCAGGGGGTATCGTCCATAAAGACTGTTCTCGTTCTCGGGAATATGAATGGAGATGGAGGGGAGGCAATGATTATTTTAGTTGTAATATATAATTGTTTTCCACTGTCCTATCCTTTTAATGTATATCGGCATGGTTCCGACCAGTTTTGATCATTTTAGGAGTCAAAATCGCTGAAATCCTTTTTTTCCTATTAGAAAAGATGAGGTGAGGCAGAGCCCCTGCGTGCTCGCTCCCTCACAGTGGACTGCGGCACTTTCCAAACTACACACTCGGCGGTCCACATCTGTAGTAATAGCGTGAAGGTCTGTGCAAACATTCACCTGTACCTGCAGCGCACTCCGCATGGCACCGATGTCAGCTTGTAAGTGCTCCAGTTTCCTGAGCAGGCCGCATACATTCCAGAAAGTGGGATACAAAATGTGGTATATTCTTCCCGCTGCCAGAATAACAATTTCATCTTGACATAAAGCTCGAGCTTTCGCAGATATAAAGTGTAAGAATTCATCCTTCACAAGTATTTTGCTATCCACAGTCCTGTAGACTTCAGGTTTTTATCTTGTAGGACCAAATGCAGGTGCAGCTGAGGCAGAGCCATCCGCACCATTGGCATCCATCTTGCATTGTATAATTTTACATAATTTTTTGTTTCTAATATCCTGCTTTGAAAATATTTGGTAAACTTATCATAGTGTTTAGATATTGCACGTACTGTATGTGTTTACTATTTATATTCAGTTTAAGTCTTTCGATCGGAGAAGAATACATATTTTTCCACTGACGTCACGCACTACCCACAATTCCACAGTTTGCCATTTTACAAGTCTAGCCGCCGCTAGGTAAACAAAGCAAGAAGTAATATAGAACAATATAGAACAAAGCACTAGTTGTGCTTTGTTCAAGCACAACTAGTTGTGCTCACACCAGTCGACAAAGTCCATCATAACCGACCATTATTCCAGCGCGTTCCCCTCAGACACACAGGCCATGATGGCGGAGTCATCGGAGGACTTCTGCAGGTGACAGCGGTGTGTCTCGTATGTGAAGTCTGAAGTGTACATGGTGAAGAGAAACAGTGAGAGGACAGTGCCCTGAGGACCCCAGTACTGCAGACTACCACTTCAGAGTCACAGCTGTGGAGTCGCATGTACGTGGTCAGTCCGAGAGGTAGTCGATGGTCCATGCAGTGATGTTGCTGTCCCCTCCCACGTCCTCCATCTTCCCCCGCAGCAGTGCCGGTCTGATGGTGTTGAAGGCACTGGAAAAGTAAAAAAAAACATGACCCTCACAGCGCTCCCAGCGGGCTCCAGGTGGGAGAGCGTCCGCTGCAGTAAGTAGATGACAGTGTTCTCTACTCCGATGTTGGGCCTGTAGGCGAACTGAAGCGGGTCCAGGGTGGGGCTGAACACAGAGCGAAGATGGGAGAGGATGAGCCGCTCCATGGTCTTCATCAGGTGGGAGCTCAGTGTGACTGGTCTGTAGGGAGCCGGTTCCTTGGTGTGCGCTGTTTTAAGAACCAGCATCACACAAGAGGTCTTCCACAGGACAGGGACCTTCTCAAGGCTGAGGCTCAGATTGTATGTAGCTGAGGACCTCAGAGAGCTGGTCTGTACAGGTCCTCAGCAACCTGGGACTGATCCTGTCCGGCCCCGCGGATTTTCTCTGCTTCAGTCGGTTCAGCTCTCTCCTCACCTGGTTGGGTGTGATGGAGAGGGGGGATGTGGGGGCAGGGGGGCTTGGGGCAGTTGAAGTTCCCATGATAATGGAGGGGAGGTACAGACTCCTTTTCTTGCGGCCCCCTCTGCGTCTCCTGCGTATCATATCCACGGGGATCACCGGCTTCTCAGAGTGCAGGAAAGTTCAGCACTAGGTTGTTACCACTGCACCAGGACACCAGTCGGTCCACCTCCCTCCTGTAGGCGGACTCGTCGTTGTTGGAGATGAGTCCAATGAGGGTGGTGTCGTCCGCGAACTTGATCAGCTTCACGGAGTTGTGGCCGGAGGTGCAGTGGTTGGTGTACAGGGAGAAGAGTAGGGGAGAAAGAACACAGCCCTGTGGGGCTCCTGTATTTATAATTCGAGAGTCCGAGACATTCTTCCCCAGACGCACTCGCTGCTTCCTGTCTGTCAGGAAGTCAGTGATCCACCTGCAGGTGGAATCGGGCACGTTAAGCTGGGATGGCAGGATTGTGTTGAAGGCAGAGCTGAAGTCCACAAACAGGACCCTGGCGTAGGTCCCGGGGGAGTCCAGATGCTGTAGGATGAGGTGGAGGGCCAGGTTGATGTCTTCCGAGGCTATTGTCAGGGTGGGGGCAGACCTGATGGGTGGGTCGTTAGAGTAATGGGGGATGGGGGAAGTGTCCGGGGCAGCGTCGAAGCGACTGAAAAACATTTTCAGGTCGTCGGCCAATTTGTGGTCGTCAGCACAGAGGGGGGCTTTGGGCTTCTAGTTGGTGATCTCCCGTAGGCCCCTCCAGACAGAAGCAGTATCGTTGTTTCCAAACTGCTCCTGTAGTCGTTCTCTGTGCCGGGACTTGGCTGCTTTCAGTTCTTTCCTGAATAGATATTTAGCCGCCTTGAAGCTGCTGCGGTCCCCCTCCCTGAAAGCAGACTCGGTTGCTTTTCTGAGCTGCCGGAGTTTAACAGTGAACCAGGGTTTGTCGTTGTTGTAGATGACCCTGGTTCTTGTTGGAATAATGCTATCCTCACAGAAGTGAATATATGACGTCACAGTGTCCGTGTAGTCATCCAAACTTTCCGAGGCAGCTCTGAAAATGTCCCAGTCTGTAGATTCCATGCATGCGCGCAGCTCTTCCACAGCCTCATCAGATCACACTTTGGAGCTCCTCACTACAGATTTCGAGAGCTTTAGTAGGAACCAGGTGGATCATGGAGTGGTCTGAGAAGCCCAGGGCTGCGCGTGGAAGGGCGCGGTACGTAGTAGTGTAACAGTAATCCAGAGTGTTCTCCTCTCTGGTCGGGCATTTGATAAAATGTCTGTATTTGGGTAGATCCTGGCTCAGGTTTCCCTTATTAAAATCCCCCAGGATAATAATCAGAGAGTCCGGGTGTAAACGCTCCATACACAGTACTTGCTCTGCGAGTGCACACTGAGCCTCGTGCGCGTCCGCGGATGGCGGTATGTAAACCGGCAAGTATGAATGAAACAAACTCGCGAGGGGAGTAGAATGGCTTACAATGAATGAAAAGATATTCCAGAGCAGGAGAACAGTGCTTGGAGATCACTGTCACATCGTTACACCAGTTTGTATTTACGTAGAAGCAGAGTCCTCCGCCTCTGCTCTTAGCTGAGAGCGATCAATGGCGATCCGCGCGGAACAGCCCAAAGCCCTGCAGGACCAGAGTGTGGGATCTGCTCATTTAGCCAGGTCTCAGTGAAGCAGAGGACACAGGATGAGGCGAAGTACTTGTTTCTTCTTATCAGCAGGCTGAGTTTGTCCATCTTATTGCCCAGAAAGCAAACGTTTGAGAGCAAAATGCCGGGCAAACGTGCGTGTTCCTCTCTTCCTCAGACGGACAAGCACCCCGCTGCGTTTCCCTCTTTTACGGATCCTAAGTTTTTTGGCTAAAACATGAATTAAATCAGCCGCAGATGCCAAGGAAACAGGCAGTAGGTCCATGGGAACGGTGGGTCGGATGTTCATAAGTTCCTAATGGGTGTAGGAACAGCCAGATACACAGTTAAAAAGTAAAAACAAAAGAAACAGAGAGCACAGAAAAGCCGTGGCGACCGTACGAGGCGCCATCTTTTTATGTCCGACGTCATACGGCAAACTGTCAATATCGCAAACCACAAGCACCAAAAGACCGAGTTAAAACAACAGGAGGCACATTGTGTAGTTTGTACACGACAGACTCACAAGTGAACCATAAAAACGTTTTTCACATTGAAAATAATTAGAAGGAGGCAGAATCTGCAACACAGTCTGAGTATGTTCTGACCCGCAATGAGCGCAGTTCAACTACTGTCACAAGTTTCAACAAAAAACAATTCAGGGACAAGCCTCAAATAAAACACACAGAATCCCCACAAAACAATTGCCAGAAAACTTTACCAGCAGCGTGAGTGAATGTTCTGTTTTCTTACCGTGATGCAGATAGGGCGCTGTGGCTAACGCTAATGCTAACATGAACTTTTAGCCATGTTCTGCCGCGGCTGTGTATATGTCCTGCCTCTCTGATCATCGCAGTTTTAAGTTCCCACAGACGTTAATCCTCCATGCATCTATTCTCTTCACACCGCGTTTTAAAATCTATATATTATAAATCCATGGTAAAACTCAGTAGAGCCTCTGTGCAGCAGTTGCCTCTTCAGAACGCAGTCTTGTTTACTTGTCGCCTCCACGCAACTGTCAAGTGGTAGATACGTTTGAACCGGTCATTTATCAAACTAAAGTATTCTTTCCTTGGCAGTCTGGTGAATAACTGAGAGTTGAGGAGCACTGTCAAAGACGGCATATTGTCTTTCAAAGGCTTCCGTTGTACCCTTGACTGCAATATATGATCTCAACACTAGACGGCAGTAAAAACTACCTTTAAGGCTCAGACAGTTCTTATAATAGGGGCGACAGTGGCTCAGTTGATAGAGCATTGGCCTTTGAGCTTGAAGGTCATGGATTAGAGTCCACCACGAGACCTACTTCAACTACTCCCACTCATGTCTGCTGTCGTTGTGTCCTTGGGAAAGACATTAACCCCACGCTGCCTGAAGCCCCTGCTGAAAGACCAAGGCTGTGTCACTGTTGACGGAGCAGCCATCTTCCTGTGGACCCAACAACTGCAGGAGGATCAGCGAGGGACTGGTACTATGAGCATTGGGTGGCAGCTGTCATTGCCCCCCCCTTGGTTAACTCCAGATGCTTTCATTTCTCTTGCCTCTAAAAACACGTATACAGTAATAGTTCATGGCGAAAGAGTGTTTGAGTGTGACAGTGAGACATTAGGACTATAAATGGACATTAGCCCATGGCTACAATCTGGTGTATTTAATACCAGATACCTGCTATACATTAATACATACCCATAAATATACAATTTTTTTAGGTTGTCATTGGAAGGGGGGAAATACTCTTTTCAGCACTTTTCAAAACACTCGAAGACGCTCCACATGTCATTGTTCTTTCACTCCATACACGGGACTCATAAGTTTCTACTGTAGCCATAGCTGCCCTGGTGCACACTGACAAAAGCAAGGCAAGAGGAAAACCAGTATATGCCATCGTCCCCTGCGACCACCACCAGCCATTGACACGCACACCAGATTCATTCTAGGCAATGTTGGTGAAATCTTGCCCAAGGACACAACGGCAGTTTTTCACTTTACAGCCGCAGCCGCCCCACTGTGGCACCTGGTGATCCCATTACATTACCAACCAGGCCCTTGCACAGCTTCCGAGGTCTGACGGGATCTGGCTTTTACATGCAAGTATTGCCACAGAAGGGAAAAAAAGAGTGTTGATATTGGCCACATACAAAATGTTTTCCGCACCATTACACAAATAAAATGCAATTTTCACATGATGCAAAGGAAGGGTCCCTCCTTTTTTAATTGGAATATATTTCCTACACCAACAGGTAAAAGCAATTAATATGAACAGCTCATCTACAGATGTTGTCATTATATGTTGTTCATTTGCATGTTTACGACTTATTTAACTTTAATTATTTAACTCAGGGAATCATTCTGAAGTGACAACACTGCTACCATACCTTTTCCTTTTACAATTTCTTATTCTGGTGTTCAGAACATGTTTAATTTGTATTATTTTATTTCAAGTTAATTTCTGGGTAGTTATCTATGGACTCATTATGCTAACTTTCTGGTTAGCATTGATAGATTTTGTACAATTACATGTTGACCTATAGAGAGAGCTTTGATTCTGCTGTTGTGTGCAGTTCCAGTCTGGAGGAGACCCAAGGACAGGAGCCGTGGTGTCAGCTCAGGAGGCCCAGGCCCAGGCCATTCTGCAGCAGACCAAGGCATCAGTGTTTTAATTATCTTTCCATTATTACTATTTTAGTGTCCATGGGTCACTGATAATCCTGTCTCCTACAGCTTTCCATGAAGGGACCTCCAGGTCCATTGGGATTGAGGGGACGCCCGGGGCCTCTGGTACCATGAGCTGTCCTCATACATGCATGATGTACATGGATGTTTACAGATTTTTGAATAACACGTTTGTGTATGGTGTACAGGGAGGGCCAGGCCCCGCGGGGCTGAAGGGGAGCAATGGAGAGATGGGTCCTGTTGTAAGTGTCTAACATCACAAACAGCATCCTGGCTCCAATTCTTTTGGATGTTTTGACGCTTCTGTTCTCCTGCACAGGGGCCTCCAGGACTTCCAGGAGCTCCAGGTCAAAACGGACGAGCAGGAAAGAGGGTAAATCCGCATAGTGTGTTTGTGTCAATCTTTGTGTGTGTGTGTATGTGGGTGTGTGTGCTTGTCATGACACTGTGGGCATGTTTGTGTTTTCTCAGGGTCGCGCCGGATCGGATGGTGGGCGAGGAGCCATAGGAGAGTCAGGAACAAAGGTGACACAAAAACACGCACACGCGCATACACACACACACACATACAGTATGAAGGTGCAGTTTTTGTTGTGTTACAGAGTGCATCGTGGTGTTACAGTGTTTTGTTGTGACAGGGGGACAGAGGCTTTGATGGACTGCCAGGTCTCCCTGGAAACAAAGGTCACAAGGTGAGTAACATCACACCTGTATCATGATTAGTAATTTTAAAAGATGACCTTTGACTATTGTGCTCAGGGGGAGCGGGGTAAACCTGGGCCGCTGGGCCCCCCTGGACTCACAGGGGAAAAGGTCAGGGGCTGTTCTTTCTGTGGAATATTTGCGTTGTTTATATGAAACTTAAAACAACTGTGTGCAGGGCTCAGAAGGACCACCAGGTCCAAGAGGAGCTCCAGGTGATGCTGTGAGTCAGTGTGTCTTACTACCACCCACCCATACACCATCTATATCTTCTATATTTAGCTTCCTGTTATGTGCAGCAGCCTGAATGTTAAATTTTTGTGGTGAAACCTATAATATGACGTTTTTTTAAGGGCTTGAGAGGCCTCAATGGACCCAGGGGCCGACCGGGGCCCCCAGGACAGCCTGTGAGTACCACCAGTTGTGTGTTTGTCCTGTTCTGTAAAAATGTAGTCATGGTTAAATCAGCAGAAAGAAAATGGCCTTGAAAAATCAGGCATCAGAATAGGTGTGCAGAGAAGTAATACAAAATGTATTAGTTCAATGAGAATCATCAACAAATTTGTGACTTTTTTTCAAACTAATCAAATACACAGCATTCCTTTGACCAAAACAAAGATTTAGTTTTAGGGTGTAGTATATTTTCATTGATTAAAATCAGTTAAAACACAATACTAACTTACATTGTTTGTTATGTATGTAGTGGTTTTGAATAAACCCTTTCAACATAGGAATTCAATAAAAGTGAACATAAACCACATGCTTGTTAACAGGGCATTGTTACCTCTGAAGTATGTAGCAGATACAAGGAAGTGTGGCTCTGCCTGAGGCCGTGTCTCTGTTCTCAGTGTTATTTGGGGTCTGTAAATGCAGGTGTATACCTGTTCCTAATAAGAGATAATAGATTTGTGGGAGTTTGGATTGTGTATGTTCTCTTTTTAGTATTGTGCAAACACTTGCCTGCTGTGTGTGGTTTTGGCAGTGATAGCTGGAATACTATATGCTCAAAGCATTTCCTGATTACATTTGTTTTTAAGGGTGCTTACAATGAATGAATGAATGAATTGAATTAAATTTAAGACTTTAAAAATTATCCACTGTTTCTCCACACAGGGTGTTGGAGGAATAGATGGGGTCCAAGGTTCAAAGGGAAACATAGTGAGTTGCACATCTCTAAATCAAGCAGTGAGCTGTTACAGCTGATCCGGCTCCACTCTTGTGTTTCACAGGGAGCCCCAGGAGATGTAGGAGCGCCCGGACAGCAAGGCAACATTGGCATCCTGGTACACACTGCCAAAGATGAGTATTGCAGTTTTGTACATGTACTCATGTCTCCTGTGTTTCAGGGCTTTCCTGGTCCTCAGGGACTGGTAGGACATCCAGGAGAAAAGGTACATTCCAAGCATTAGTGTAACTTCAGTGAGGATCTGGACCAGAGGACTTGCATAGTGCTTGCTCCAATGTCCTTTGTTGGTTTTTAGCACTTCACTTTTGTTGTTCTTCTATTTTCGCAAAAGGGGACACAATCCCTAATAGTGAAATTGCGATATAAACCAATTGTTTCAAATGTGAATGATTTTTAATGGTGCAAACATCTTTCTAAATACCTTTAACAGTGAAATGGTCTCACTACTGATTTGTCTTACAGGGCCCTCAAGGGAAGAAAGGCATGCCAGGGTTACCAGGAAATGATGGTCCCCCAGTAAGTATCACTATTAACCCCTATACTGTCCACAATGAGGCTTTAAACATGGCTTGTGTCACAGGGTCATCCGGGAAGGGAAGGAGCCGCTGGAGAGAAGGGTCTGCCTGTGAGTCACACCGATGGTCCACTCCTCCTTTCATTTTCACACATACACCACTCAAAGAAGTTCTACACTCTAAAATCTATACTTTACTCTAAACTGCAGGCTAGGAGTCGCATACGGCCATATTGGGCGTCATGGTGGCTGAGGGGTGAGGGCTGAGAGTGGATAGCACTCTTGCCTCTCAGCAAGAAGGTCCTGGGTTCGAATCCCGGTGGGAACGGGGTCTTTCTGAGTGGAGTTTGCATGTTTTCCTCCGGGTACTCTGGTTTCCCCTACCACTAAAAACATGCACACTAGATAAAATCCTCCAGCTCCAGTAGTCCTGATCAAGCTGAGCATCAAAATCTGGAGATGGGTTCCTGGGCGCTGTACTACGGCGACCACTGCTCCTGACGTGTGCCTTAGCGGAGTGCGGAGGATCAATTGCCCTACGGGGATAAATTTTCACCTTTACCTTTACCATTCAAATTTATATGCAGTCCCAGTAATACTTCATCAAAAATATGAATCTGTAAATCAGATTGATATTGCCTTCTTAACCGTTAACCCTTTTTCATTAAATCATAATTTACATAATGTAAAGAGATTAAGATTAAGATTAAAAGATCTTTTTTTCTTCCCACAGTGGGGAATGAGGCTAAAGATGAACTACAGTATAAACAAACACAATGAAAACACTGTATAATTAGGCTACACGTTTTTTTCTCCCCCTCTTTAAATGTTTTTGTTCATCAAATGAATAATTGTATAACTGAAGTAGTTTTCACAGAAAATAGCCAATACTTTTTACCAAATTGAACTTGCAACCCTTGTAAACGAGTCCGGCTCTCCACAATTATGACAATATTGGGATCACAGTCATCTACCAGCACAACTTCAATCTTCGCCCCATCACCATTCCTGCCACTACCACATTCAAACACCTGGTCTTCAGACTCTCTGGTTCACAATCTCTGATCATTGCCATTATATATCGTCCCCCCCAAAACCTGTACTTTGTTCCGTTCAGACTTTACAGACTTTTACACACAGCTCTCTGCCATCCTTCCAATTTTCTACTCGTCGGAGATTTCAACATCGATGTTGATAATCCACATTCACAGTCCATATTCACAGCCAATTTTCTGGACATTTTAACCTGTCTAAACCTCATTCAGTATGTAAACTCTCCCACTCACCCTTATGGTCACATTCTTAATCTCATCTGCCTCATTATCAATTCATAATTTCACACTCACAGACCTCACCCTCTACGACCACCTAGCCGTCACCGTGGACATTACCATACCCACTCAAACACCCAAACAAACATGCACAATAACATACCGCAATCTAAAGTCCCTCAACCCCACTTCATTTGCCCCCTCTGTTTTTACTACTTTTTCCTCTTCCTCTCACCCCCCTCCTGACTTATCCACCTCAGAACTCGTCGACCATTATTATCTAACCCTCTCCTCCTGCCTGAACCGGCTCGCTCCCCTCAAAACCGCCACAGTCTCCTTTTCCACCTCTGCCCCATGGTAAACCCCAGACCTCCACAACCTCAAGAAGAAATGCCAAGACTGGTCTTACTGTTCTTTGAACATTTCTAATCCGGTTTCCGTCCCCATCACAGCACCTCCAACACCATTCTATCCTGGTTTTCCTCTTACCTCTTTAACCATCATCATTATGTTTCGTGTAACAACTGCATCCCAAACCTCCCCTGTCTCCAATGGTCTTCCCCAAGGTTCGGTACCCGGGCCCCTCCTCTTCATCATTTACATGCTTCCCCTTGGTCACATCATCCCTCATCATGGACTCCACTTTCACGGCTACGCTGACGACACCCAGGTCTACATCTCCACTAAATCCATCTCCCCAGTCATCCTCTCCACCATCACACACTGCATCTGCAACATCAAATTCTGGATGGACCACAATTTTCTAAAACTTAACAGCAATAAAACAGAACTTCTCATCACCGGACCCAAGTCACTCCTTCCCTCTGCTCAAAACATCTCCCTAAACATTGACTGCCTCACAGACACTCCCTCTCCCACCCTTTCATTTAAACCCCACATAAATCTCATCGCCAAAATATAATTTTTCCATCTCTGCAACATCGCTCGCCTCCTTCCCTCCGGTGTTATTTTTGTTGACAAAATATTTTTGTCATATATTTTGTCACAAGTATATTTTAGGGGACGAAAACAAAACAGAAACTACAATAGAAGTCATTAATTGTGACAAAGATGATGACTGAATTGATCAACATTTTTATCCATGAATAAAAGACAAGACAGAAAATAGAACGGATAGAAAAAAAACAAAAAAGAACTAAGACATGACCACGGCTTGGAGTAAAAGAAGAGGATATCTGTCGGCCCTTTTTACATTTGACAAAGAAGAAAACAAGAGATGGCAATATGAAGCCCCGTGAAGAGGCATCTCAGCATTAACATGGTTGGAAGCTTCGAGAAGATTCACTTTGCTCTACCGCCATCATGTGGACAAAACATGTAAACCACTGCCTAAACTAAATGGTGCCTCTAGGACATCTACAGTTGATCTACAATGTTTTTGTATAAAGCTATGATTGCTCCAAAATAAAGTAAAGTAATAGGTACCCGTGTCACGTTTGTCATTGTATGCGTCAAGTGACAATACTGTACATATTTATACAAATAAATCCCTATTTATACAAATGTCATGAGCAGCAATCGACTAAAATTGCCTCATGTTTTCATAGACTAAAATTGCTTCATATGTTTGTCAAATAAATTTGACTAAAACTAAATTTAATCAGATAACTAAAACTAAAGACTAAAACAAAATTAGAATTTCTTGCTGCTTCCCTCCCTCTCTCAATCCACTGCAGTAATACTGGTTCACGCCTTCATCATCTCCAGACTTGATTACTTGCAACAGCCTCCTCTGCGGTCTCCCTTCCACACATCTCCAAAAACTACAATACATCCAGAACTCTGCCGCCCACCTGCTCACCCAAACCCGCTCCAGGGGCGCAGCACCCCTGTCCTCAAACAACTCCACTGGCTCCCTGTTCCTTATCACACACAATACAAGGTCCTCCTCCTCACCTACAAGTCCCTCCATAACCTGGCAGCCCTATTACCTCACTGACCTCCTCCATCATCAGCGTCCCTCCCGCCGCCTCAGATCCACAGACTCCTACCTTCTCACTTCCCCCAGGACTAAGCACCAAACCTTAATAGACCGAACCTTGCTGCAGCCGCCCCCACTCTGTTGAACTCACCCACAACCCATCAGAAACTCAGACTCACGACGCATGTTTAAATCACTTCTTAAAACCTACCTGTTTCAGCTTGCCTTTCCTTAATTTTGTTTTTCAATGTTTATTTTTAGGTGTTTTGTAGTGGTGTGCATCCAAATGCCTGTGACACCCATTTAAAGACGCTGGTTTATTTTGAAATTGACGCGTGTCATTTTGATGTCACTTGTCTGTGACACGCATTTGGAGGAACCTTTGAATTTTTTTTGGGTGCTTTTTTTATGAGACCAAAAAAATGCCAGAAGGTCCTTGGTAAATTTTGTTGTACAGTAGAGCCACAAAATTTGGTACACGTTTCTCAACTCAAATCATGAAAAAAGTTATTATGGCCACGCCGCCTGAGAAACTGGGAGCCCGTTAAGTTCAACGGAAAATGGAAAAATGAAAATTAATTATTTTAAATTGTTGACAATTTGCTCCCATTTGCACATACAAAGTCCAGATTGCACAACGTTTTAATCCATTGTTCAACTCGAGGGTCTATGTAAATAATTTAAATTGGCCCATTAGCGCCCCCTACAGACTGTGTGAAAGTTTTACATGGGGATAATCATATTTAGTTTTTTCTAAATGTTTGACATTTTGCACATAATTCTGTTTTGGCCCCTTGATTTTAAAATGCTTCCCATTCTATGTCAATGGCAAAATCGTTAAATCTCTAGAAATGTACACCTCGCACAAACATGAAACCAGCCTCGGCCGTTTCACCGATTTGACTAAATTGGCCCTTTAGCGCCCCCTACAGAGGGAGCCGAACAAACTGATCATTATTATTTTCGCTTGTCATATCATGACAAGCGAAAATAATGGCGCGTTAGCGCCATCTCCTTTGCACGGTGTGGCGAGGGCTGTTTGATGCTGCTTGCGGCTTTAATTATTATTTTTTCAATTATTAATAAACACTGCTTAGATCTTCTTGTTTATTAATTTCAACTTATGAAGATGATATAACTTTGTAAGGCCATATTGTGCCTGTATCAGTGGCTTTTCATTATTATCGCTTATTACACACAGTAATTTTTTTTAACCAATATATGGCCCATCAAATGGGGTATTGTGACTATTGTTTCAGTAAAAATAAGAAAATCACAAATGCTTCAGTTCAATTGTTTGTTTGTCCTGATCTACACGATAGAGCATTTTTAATGAACAAATGTTAATGTGCCGAATCATAGCTCCTGCACAGTGCTGGTTCCATTTTCCTGGATCCATGAATACAAATGCATTTCCTCCAAAGGGATTTAGAGAAAAAAAATAAATATAAAGAACTGAACACTTGTCTGAGGTTAATGTGCTCTCTGATGAGGAATGACTACAACATCTTCATAAAGTAATGGTTGACCTTGATTTGTCTGTGATTCAAAGTGTTTCAAACATTAAAAAACAAAGTAATCAACATATTTCACTGAATTGTACATTTTAATTGTGCTTGGTTTTACTTACTGTGTAATTGTGAAATCTTACATTCAGATTTTTCCTCACTGTGGGACAAATGAAGGACCTCTTAATTATGCATAAGAAGGTCAAAGAAGCACTATTGTCCCCTGTGACATACTCAACAGTCCTCTGTGTGCTCACAGTTCTCTTCCATCACACTAGGGGTCTCCAATGCCACAGTGACCCTTGGAGATGACTCTATTCAGGGTGCTAAGCTTTGGACTCAAATACTCAAATACAACAGTTGTCCTGTAATCAGCAAATAATTGAAAGAAAATAAATATTCATTCTATAATGTTTATTTTCCCCGTTATTTGCGAATGATGGATGAAGGCTCCATTGAAAGCCCAGAAAGGGTACATACTGTATGCTCTTCATCAATAATATAAAGGAATTTGGCAATATGAATGTGACTGTTAAATTGACTTGAGCCTGTTCTCAGGGTACAGCGGGAGTCCAAGGGCCGGTGGGATACCCTGGTCAGCGTGGAGTTAAGGTACATGTCCTTTTCTTTACAGCTGCACAGAGCATTTTTTTCATTGACCTGTGTGTTTGCGACAGGGAGCAGATGGACTGCGAGGACTAAAAGGCAGCAAAGGGGAGAAGGTAGGGAAGATACATGCTCTTATATTTTGTGTATTGAATGTGTAATGGTATAATTATTCAAAAATAATGGAAATATAGATGGATTTTTGTTAAGGCCATAGAAATCTGTCCGAACAGAAGAGTGCACTGTCACCTCTCCACGGAATCTGGGGACAAATGCTCTTATATAGCAACCAAAGACTATCATTCTGTTTAGTCTAGCAAGCGCTTTGACGATAACCGGACTTTGCCGCCGACTACTTGTGCAGTCTCAGTGATATTATTAGCGATAGTCCACTTTTCTGTGGCTTTTTTTGGGGTGCTTCGCTGGTCTGCTGCTCTTACCCTCCACATGGTCCCTATGTGGATCTCGCCAATAAGGAGTGAGACTGGCCTGTTCCTGCTCACAAAATTTGCTGCTGAAGACATAAAAACACCAGTATCAAAGAGTCCAAAAGCTTCAATATGAGCCATGTTGGATTGGTTAAAGGGTGCCCTGACCATTACCCCCGAAACTCACAGATACGGAAACTGCCAAGTTGTGAATGAGAAGGAAGAAAGAAAGAAATTAAACCAACTGTGCAAATCAAAAGGATTTTTTTGGTTTGCCGTTTTAATGCACACACAAAGTGTCTGCTGGAACAGCAGATGGGTCTTGGATTTTATTCCTGATGCGTGTGAACTTTTTCCTATGACTCCTATTAGTGAGGAAATGGTGAGGACCACTCTGTTTGTCTCTAGGGAGAAGATGGTTTTCCTGGGGCCAAAGGGGAAATGGGTGGAAAGGGTGATGTTGGAGATAATGGACTTCTGGGCGCTCGAGGAGAGGACGGACCAGAGGGACCCAAAGGCCAGATGGGCCCCCAAGGAGAGTCTGGTGCAGCAGGAACCGCTGGAGAGAAGGTAGAGGTCCACATGCATGCTGACAGACTTTAGCTGACTGTCAAGGCAACAATGTGTTCATGTTTGTACTGTCTTCCTGTAGGGAAAACTGGGGGTCCCAGGGTTGCCAGGTTATCCAGGGCGCCAAGGACCAAAGGTAACAGGTAAGGTTTTAGACTAAGTACTTACCTCACATGTGTGATGTCGTCTGGTAGGGATCTGATGGATTTCCTGGACTGATTGGAGCAGCAGGAGAAAAGGGCAAAAAAGTGAGTTTTATTTAATGTTGTTTTCTTCTGATCTCAGTCCATGTCTGATGTACAGTATTTGTGTCTCTGTCCAGGGTCCCGGAGGTCAGCAAGGCAGCGGAGGGCAACGCGGGCCAAACGTGAGTGGGCCATTTGTTGTTTTTTTTCTTTCTTACATGTATTCTTTGGTGTAATTTATACTGTTACTGTTAAAATTGAATTGGTAAATAATGGAGCAGCTCTACTCCAAGCTCCTCCCATGTGACAGAGCTCCTTACCCTATCTCTTAGGAAGCGCCCAGCCACTCTGTAGAGGAAACCGCTTGTATCTGTGATCTCGTTCTGTCGGTCATTACCCAAAGCATGACAATAGGTGAGGGTAGGAAAGTATACACGGCTGTAAATCCAGAGCTTTTACTGCAGCCGACATTCCTCTCCGCCACAACAGTCCGAAAAAGTGTCAATCTCACGCTCCATCCTTCCCTCACTGTGAACAAGACCTGAGATATGTGAAGTCCAACACCTGGAGAGGGCAAGGCACCTAAACCACTAAATTGTTCACTACACTATGTGATCATTCTGCAATACAATACTAGACCTTGGTGAAATTAAGCTTAATAAATCACGAAAAAAAAAATTGTACAGCCTAAATCACAATAGCGGGCGTCACTGAGGACTTTACAAGGTTGTATGTATTTACTAGGGCTGTCAAACAATTGAAAGGTTTTAGTTTATTAATTGCATAGTAATGGTGAGTTAACTCACGATTAATAACATTTTTAACATTCTATTTCAAATCCACTCTAATTGAAGTTAAATGAGATTATCAAATGTAATGACACATTGTCATTCATACCAAATGTACTTAAATCTGTTTGATTTGCTCACTACCTTTTACGTTTGGGCACAACCAAAATGACCTGATAATGAAAGGGGAAAATTTACCTACCCCAGCTTTAATTTAGCGAGTTTAGTTTAGTTTCAGGAGGAGACACGAACCCTTCCGCGATGTATTTGCTGCACATTTATGCACAGGTTGCAAAGACACGCACAACATGCAGAGGATAGTGCTGTGGCGTGAATGGTCTCATGACCGCGGTACCGCTGTGTCGTTCCTGTGTAGTTGTTAGCGGCTCACAGCCGCGAACCACCAGAGCGGCCCCAGCTGCCCCCGGGGTGTGCCCCGGGAGGCGGACTTCAGTTCATAGCAAACAATAGCCCCGTGGCCACGGGGGCTGTTGTTTATTGGGAAAAAAAACTTGAATTTCAACCTGCTCTGTCACCTTCACACGCATGTGTCCGCGGCATTCTGAGTGATATTATGGATAAATGGGCGGGTCATTCGGACATGCGTTAATGCGTAATTTTTTTGTTTACGCATTAATTAATTATATGTTTTACGTGAATTAACGCAATAATTTTGACAGCCATAGTATTTACATACAACTTTATGTATGAATTTAGGTAACACGGCCAAATAGTTTGCATGTTCTCCCCATGTCTGTGAAGGTTTCCCCCGGGTGCACCGGTTTTCCCCACCACTAAAAACAAGCACAATAAGTATGAATGTAATGAGTGTGTGATGGTGTTAGTTAGGGGCTTTGATGCGCCAGTGTTTTCTCCTAGGGACAGGAAGTAAATCTCTCCATTAAGAATCATAAAAATCTTCACTGATTCTGCTCCTTTCTGTGGAGTGTATAGTTGTGGCAACTGCTTATATCAAGTGGAGAACGTATGGAGTCTCTATTTTGCAAAAATATATTTCTCTAAAGGTTGTTAACTTTTAGGAAAATACCTAAAAAGGAATGGAAGAAATGCATTAGCCTGCATAGCATCTGCAGCCACAAACACAGCTGACAGTCGGCATTCTTCACTTTGCTGACATCTCAGAGAAACAATGCAGTCTTTTTGTAAGGTGTATGGTTGTAGTAAGATTTTTTACTCATTGACTGCCAGCCATTTTTGATAACTTCACTGATTTTCAAAACTCACAGAATATTGTGTGCTATGACTATGAGAAATATGAAACCAGAGTCTGAAAGACTGGACTGTCTACTTTCAGCAGCAAAAAGAAGTCGCTTTTAAGCTTGTTTTGTTCTCCTGCAATTGCCAGTCGAAAAGAGGGGAGTGTGACAGAAATCACGAGTATTAGACAAAAAGCTGAGAAAATAGAGGTGTTTGTGAAAACAGACAAACCTGTAGAAAAGTGACTGTAACACTATGTAGTTTATCTTTAGCGTCTTCTCAAACATGTCCAGTATCTTTCGTGCTAGAAAACGGTAACAACAAGTTATGAGAACGGGTTTTCGATGCAAAATAATACGTTTTATGGCACACATACCCACATCCACAAAGTGTTGCTCAAATGTTTCAAAAAGTACTCAAATAAACATCACATTTACATATTGAAATCAGAATCCTTTTTTTTTGCCATGTGTGTAACAGGAAGTCACAAACTAGGAAATTGCTTTGGCTCTCGGTGCCAAAGTAGAGCCCATGTCGAGCCAAAGTAGAGCCCATGACAAACTATGCCAGAAAGAATGGCCAGTATGATAGGAACCAGCTGATTCATTTACTGCTCAAACTGCCTCCAATTGAAGCCTGTCTCTGACTATATTCCTCCATGCCTGCTTCGCCTCTGTCCCTCTTGCACACATTGCTCAGACAGTAATGTTTGACCAAGACCAAGACTGAGTTCTGCTGCCACAGGCTGGCTCAATAAAACACTGTCTAGAGCCAAACCCCAGACAAATAGACAAGATTTTTGGGAATTTCCGGTTTACTTCCTGATGCTGTTTCTCATTTCCTGCTTACGTTCTGACACTGCTTACAGACGTTCTTTTCTCACGGGAAATCTGTGTCTGAAATGGCAGCATTCGGAACCATCTCAGCCACCTGATGCGTGCCAGCATTCATTTTGATTGCAAACCTGACGCCCACAAAGTCGAAGTTGAGTGCGGTGTGAGCACAGCTTTAGAGCCTGAATGTTATTTTGAGGAGACTCCAGAAAGAATAGCCATTGCAGCTCAGTGGCTAAGGGGGATCTTACAGTTTTTTCCTGTTGCTTGAACACAGTTTGCAAAATTTCGCTCAAAGTCCCAAAACTCTACACACACGAGAACCTGACACAACACTGGGACATAAACCAGACACATCTGTGTCAAAATGAAACTCCTCTATCAAAACTCAAACTCTGTTCTCAAAACTCAAACTCTGCTCTCAAAACTCAAACTCTGCTCTCAAAACTCAAACTCTGCTCTCAAAATTAAACAATCATTCGTCAAAATGAAACTCTGAGGACAAAATGACACACACTTGCATCACGTGAACACACTTTCAGATTGAAAGCAACACACTACAGTACTTTATATAAAACACTGCAGTCATTTTCACTGTTTTTATTCTGTTTATCAGTTAGTTTTCTGTGAAGCTCAATGGAACTGTTTTTGTTCTCTGTAGCACTGAAAGGTTACACATAATATAAACTCAATACAGTACAGTACTACAGTATACTTTACAGTACAGTACTACAGTATACTTTATAGTGCAGTACTACAGTATACTTTACAGTACAGTACTACAGCATACTTTACAGTACAGTACTAAAGTATACTTTACAGTACAGTACAATTGTGTCAATGCAGTAAAACAAAAAAACTCTAATGTAAAACTAAGCAGTTGTGCGTGTGTGGATTATGGATCATGGTTCATGGTCTAACTATTTCCACGAAGGCAAGTTCATGTTGTTGGTGAACAGTTGCCGACCACCTCCGGATGTTCTTTTAGTCATTTTGCATAAATATGAAACCACAAATTGTTACTATAGGTTTAGTTTTTTTTACAGTACAAATGTACACAGTACTGTTATATCTCAGTTTTATGTACTTTACCGTCTTGTATGTTTCACAAAACTACATTTCTTTCAAAAAGGAGCAATAGCCAACTTGCAAAACAGTACATGTGATACAGAACAGTACTGTAAATACTGTAGGTACAGTCTGCAGTAGAGACTTACAGTACATGTGATACAGTACTGTAAATACTGTAGATACAGTCTGCAGTAGAGCGTTGGAAACATGTAGGTCCTGAAGGACCTTGTCTGGACTCTCTGCTTCCCTCAGTTTGAGGCAGTGGTTTATCACAAGATCCACAAAAGTTGCTCTAATGTCATAAAAAATATTGTGTTGTTTTAATCCTCTTAAACTCCTTGTCTTCCTCTCTCTTGCTCTTCCTGCCTTCAAACTTGCAAAGTTCTGAAAATGGCTAAACTGAAGCCTGTTTGTGTCTGTCTGATGTGTGTTGCATTTTGTAATTCAGTGTTTTCTGGTGTGTGTCTCAGTGTTTTTAGTCACACAATATGTTTGGTATTTTGAATAGATGTGTTTTCCCAACGATAACACAGGATTGCAAATATGCACAAAGTGTCTTATGTATGACACAGTGTGTAGTGAGCAGGAGAAAGTGTGTTGCAGAAAGAGAAAGTGTGTTGCAAAAGGAGAAAGTGTGTTGTAGAAATGAAAGTAGAGTGCAAAGCAGTACTTTTGTTTAAGGAATGGTCAGTCTGTGTTTTAGGTTTAGAACAAAAGCTTCAAGTTCTGCAACTTTGGTCTAAGCGTATGTCTATAGTGTTCAAGCAACAGGAAAAAACTGTAATAGACTAAACTAAACTGTTATTGTATAGACTACACCAGTGTTTTTCAACCACTGTGCCGCGGCACACTAATGTGCCATATGATATTGTCTGGTGTGCCGTGAGAAATTTGCCTACTTTGTCTAAAAATAACTGAATCCACCTTTGGCAAGTGCTGACTTCTTTTGAACTGTTGAGTAAACTCGTAATACTTTTTTATATCAGTAGGTGGCAGCAGATAGCTAAGTACTTTGAAATGTAAGAATTGGACGCAACCACCAAATGTAACAAGTAGCGGGGAGCATTGTCGCGAGAAATGTTAGAAATGGACATGACCAACAAATGTAACAGGGAGCGGGGAGAATTTTGCGTGTGAGAAGTGAAATTGATTGAGACGTTTTTGAAAAGGAATAATGCCATTTCTGAACAGGATTCACATCCTCCGCTCTGACCCCGGGGCAGCTGTGGCTGCGTTGTACTGAGAGCCGCTTTGGCAACAGCTCAGCAAACGCACATCCGTAACGTGGTGCGCGGACCCTAGTTACATGGACAGACAGAACCATGGACTCGTGTTCAGGACCATCTCCTGTGTCTTCCTTGTGTCTCTCTCGTGCCTCTTGCCGAAAGCGCAACCAAAACTCCTGAATTTAAAGCTCGGATACCTACATTTTCCCTGTTATGTTATTTTTGCACAAAAGTAAAATGTTGAGAACAAATCAAACAGAACACACAGCTGGCCATTTTTTTATCATTATTTTTAACACTTAATTCATTATTTGACTTTTTGGGCTGAGAGTGGATTTTTTTATGTTTTTTTTTTTCTACACAGTTAGTGCCACTTTATTCCCAAACTTTTGTAAACCCGTTGTACTGAGAAATATTAAACAAAGCTTACCATTTTTTCCTATTGCTTGAACACAGTTTGCAAAATGTTGCTCATTGCCCCAAAACTCTACACACAAGAGAACCTGACACAACGCTGAGACATAAACCAAACACATCTGTCTCAAAATGAAACTCCTCTATTAAAACTCAAACTATACTCTCAAAACTCAAACTCTACTATCAAAACTAAACAATCATTTGTCAAAATGAAACTCTGAGGACAAAATGATACACACTTGCATCATGTGAACACACTTTCAGATTGGAAGCAACACACTACAGTACTTTATGTAAAACACTGCAGTCATTTTCACTGTTTTTATTCTGTTTATCAGTTAGTTTCTGTGAAGCTCAATGGAACTGTTTTGTTCTCAACAAAGGTTTACTAGTAACCAGGAAGTTCTGAAAGGTTTCAAATAACATCAACACAATACTGTACATCACAGTACTACAGTATACTGTACATCACCAGTGTTGTGTGAGGTCATTGTGTGTGTAGAGTTTTGGGACAATGAGCGAAATTTTGCTAAATATGTTCTAGCAATAGGAAAAAACTGTAAGCAGTTTGATGAGAATGACTTTATAATGTGAATATAGGCTACAGAGTATATACAGTGCCTTGCGAAAGTATTCGCCCCCCCCTTGAGCCTTTCAATATTTCGCCAAATTGTGGAACAAAATTTATTGGATAATTTAAACTTTTTTAACAAATAAAAAACTGAAAAGTGGGGCGTGCAATATTGTTCGGCCCCTTTACTTTCAGTGCAGCAAACTCACTCCAGAAGTTCAGTGAGGATCTTTGAATGATCCAATGTTGTCCTAAATGACTGATGATGATAAATAGAATGCACCTGTGAGTAATCAAGTCTCCGTATAAATGCACCTGCTCTTTGATAGTCTCAGGGTTCTGTTTAAAGCGCAGAGAGAACCATGAAGACAAAGGAACACACCAGGCAGGTCCGAGATATTGTTGTGGAGAAGTTTAAAGCCGGATTTGGATACAAAAAGATTTCCCAAGCTTTAAACATCTCAAGGAGCACTGTGCAAGCAATTATATTGAAATGGGAGGAGTATCAGACCACTGCAAATCTACCAAGACCCGGCCGTCCCTCCAAACTTTCATCTCAAACAAGGAGAAGACTGATCAGAGATGCAGCCAAGAGGCCCATAATCACTCTGGATGAACTGCAGATAACTACAGCTGAGGTGGGAGAGTCTGTCCATAGGACAAAAATCAGTCGTGCACTGCACAAATCTGGCCTTTATGGAAGAGTGGCAAGAAGAAAGCAATTTCTCAAAGATATCCATAAAAAGTCTTGTTTAAAGTTTGCCACAAGCCTCCTGGGAGACACACCAAACATGTGGAAGAAGGTGCTCTGGTCAGATGAAACCAAAATTGAACTTTTTGGCCACAATGCAATACGATATGTTTGGCGTAAAAGCAACACAGCTCATCACCCTGAACACACCATCCCCACTGTCAAACATGGTGGTGGCAGCATCATGGTTTGGGCCTGCTTTTCTTCAGCAGGGACAGGGAAGATGGCTAAAATTGATGGGAAGATGGATGGAGCCAAATACAGGACCATTCTGGAAGAAAACCTTTTGGAGTCTGCAAAAGACCTGAGACTGGGACGGAGATTTATCTTCCAACAGGACAATGATCCAAAACATAAAGCCAAATCTACAATGGAATGGTTCACAAATAGACGTATCCAGGTGTTAGAATGGCCAAGTCAAAGTCCAGACCTGAATCCAATCGAGAATCTGTGGAAAGAGCTGAAGACTGCTGTTCACAAACGCTCTCCATCCAACCTCACTGAGCTCGAGCTGTTTTGCAAGGAAGAATGGGCAATAATTCCAGTCTCTCGATGTGCAAAACTGATAGAGACATACCCCAAGCGACTTGCAGCTGTAATTGCAGAAAAAGGTGGCACTACAAAGTATTAGCGCAAGGGGGCCGAATAATATTGCACGCCCCACTTTTCAGTTTTTTATTTGTTAAAAAAGTTTAAATTATCCAATAAATTTTGTTCCACTTCACGATTGTGTTCCACTTGTTGTTGATTGTTGACAAAATATTTAATTTGTATATCTTTATGTTTGAAGCCTGAAATGTGGCGAAATATGGCGAAATATATCTTTACATTTTCTCATGGTGGTGAGCCGCGACATTTTTTCAATGAAAAAAGTGTGCCTTGGCTTAAAAAAGGTTGAAAAATACTGGACTACACATACAACACATGCACACAAATAGAATAATCGCAGGAAGCTTTTACACTACTATACGTCGTCTAACTAACCATTTAAACATACAGAGACTTACTGTGATAATTGGAGCCTCAAAGTTACAATCCATTTGGAGGAGCACATCCACACCCGCTTCTTGTAGCTGCCATATCCCAACCAAAGTTTGGGGAAAGGATTTCCCTCAGTAGCGTTTTTGTCAACAAAGTGATACAATAAAACTCAAATTTTGTTAAAAGTAATAACTGTGCCCTATCTACGATGTTGAAAAAATGTAACTCATTCAAAGCATACAAGGTGTTCCACATGATTGTAACCCAGCAATGGAACAATGTCTGAACTCTGAACATTGTAAAGTGCTTTGGGTGACCTTTGTGCGTAAAGGTCTCCATGAGATGTTAAAATCTTCGGAAATCTTTGTGTTCTCCTTGGCCTTCATGATGTGGTTTAGTGACCAATTAACTCTGACTATAGCCCTGAGGCAGCTGTATTTACACTGAGAATAGATTACACACAGTTTACTTCTATGTATTCATTAGGGTGAGGGTATTTTTCTCTTGGACCAGACTTAAATCCAGACTCAAATCTGAACTTAAATTAAATCTTGTCTTAAATGATAAATATACAATAGGTGAGTAGGCTGGAATTCCAATTCTAAAGAATTTGGTCTATAAGCATCATTACCTGTGATAGTGAAAACATTTCAGTCCAAACCTGCATGAACAGCTGTCCTACAGTTTCTCCTCTTGTGAAACCTGTCTTACGTTTTGACTTTTTCACTATAGTGCTGCGTAACACGGGAGCAGAGCCCCATGTGTTCATATCTCTATTTTTTACTAGGGTTCCAGAGGTGGCCGAGGTGCACGAGGACCCACTGGAAAGTCTGGGGACAAGGTTAGTTTGATGTAATTATTATAGATAAATCTTTTTCTTTTGATTTTTATCATTGTTTTACTAGGGTACATCTGGGAATGACGGGCCTCCTGGATCTCCCGGTGAACGGGTACAGAGCAGAGCTCAATACAGATTACACAGACCAATGTTAATTTGAATTGTCATGAATTTTGCTTTGGATCAACCACTGCAGGGACCTCAAGGACCACAAGGCAGAAATGGAGAGTCGGGACCAAAAGGATTACTTGTGAGTATGCCCTTTGGCTCTTATACTAAAAATCCCATGGTTTCCATATTTATTTGTGTATTTTGTGTAGGGTCCAGCCGGGAAAGACGGCCTTCCGGGACACCCAGGGCAAAGAGGAGAGGCGGTATGAGACAGACTCTTTTACACACTGCTGTTTTATGTGTCAACCACATACGTGTTCATTCAAACTGTATTCAGTGTGGTGTTTTAGAAGATTATGAAAGTTGTCAGTCAGCCATACTTACACTTAACACTATATGTGTTTCAGGGATTCCAAGGCAAGACCGGGCCCCCAGGGCCATCTGGTGTGGTAGGGCCACAGGTGAGACTCCAGTCTACAGCTCCACACCATGATGTGATGTCACCACTTATGTTTGTTTGCATTAGGGCAAGTCTGGAGAACCTGGACCTCCTGGGGATCGGGGTCATCCAGGAGCACCTGGTGTACCTGGAGAGCATGGACTCCCCGGTGTGGCTGGAAAGGAGGGTGGAAAGGTAGATTCCATACACACATTACTGCATGTGAGCATGTGAGAACCGTCTGTGGTTTTGTTCACAGGGTGACCCAGGGCTTCCAGGCACCTCTGGGAAAAACGGACCCACAGGACTGAAAGGATTCAGAGGAAGCAGAGGTGCCCCAGGAGTCATGGTAACATTCTGCACACAGTTAGGCTAATGTTGTGAGCCTAACACCCTTATGAAGATTGTGTATATGTTCACAGGGTCCTCCAGGACTGAAAGGAGGCTCAGGACCAAATGGACTGCCAGGATCTAATGTATGTTTTCCTCATGTTGACATTTATGTTGTCAACCTTTAGCACTACTTTAAGCTATTGATTAATGTTGAGCCTGTGTGTCTTTGTTGCCAGGGAGCTTCAGGAGAAAGAGGCCCCCCTGGTCCAGCTGGAGCTATAGGTCAGCCAGGACGTGCCGGGGCCATCGGGGGACCAGGACCAATGGGAGAGAAAGGAGAACCGGTAAATAATTCTGCTTGTGAACATTCAGCAATTATTAGAAATGATTTAAATGTATTGCACTCAGAAAAAAGCTGTATGAATACTTGTGCAAGCCCTACTTTTTACTTTTCTATTTTTAAAATGATGATGGAATCATGTATCATGTTACTTTCATTTCTCAGATACCTGTTACCTGTGTGTGAACTTTCAGTGTAAAATTAATACTTTCGAGAGGAACTCGAAAAGCGCTTTTTTCTCTCATGTGAAACAGACATGAGACTTTCATGTCAAAATGTTGCAAACGAGAATAGTTAGTCCTCCTGGACTTGTGAAGATCTAGAATCGGGCTAAAATCCTGTAGTTTGTTGCTACCCGCAGGGTTAAGGCATCTGATGAAACTTATGTCTGTTTTAACTGATGTCCTAGGGCACAAGTGGTCCAATTGGACCTGCAGGTCAGGATGGAGAAGAGGGTCCTGTGGGAATGCCAGGGGCAACAGGCCCCACAGGGCCACCAGGGGATGATGGAGACAAGGTAACTTATATTTCTCAATGTATAGAATATATTTCTGTGACTAACAAATCTTAGTGTGTGCTGTGTGTTTCAGGGAGAGCAGGGTGGACCTGGACAGAAAGGCAGCAAAGGAGACAAAGGAGAAGCTGTGAGTTTACTCAACTACAATGTCCTGTAAACAATTCAATTTGAAGAGACCAAGGGAGCAGGAGCCAGTGCAGGAGCCAGGGCAGGAGCCAGGGCAAGAGCCAGGGCAGGAGCTTGAGGAGGCGCTGGGGAGGCGGTGGGTGTTGAGCCGCAGTGAGCATGTTAAGAGCCACAGGAAGCGCTGTTTATCAGGAAGTGGCTGCTTTTAAACTGCCCGCTTTGCTGTCAGTGGGTTGGCAAGAGGCTGGCCGGGCTGTGTGATTGGCAGAGGCTCGAGGCTGGCAGAGCTGTGTGATTGGCAGAGGCTCGAGGCTGGCAGAGCTGTGTGATTGGCAGAGACTCGAGGCTGGCAGAGCAGTGTGATTGGCTGGCCCTGGACGGGTGAGAGCTGTGGCCGGTCTTTCAGTCTATATTCACGCTTCAGCTTCATAAATACTGTATTTCTTCAATATATGTCTGTTTCACCTCACATTGTGTGCTTGACAGGGACCTCCAGGTCCTGGAGGGCCTCAGGGACCTGTGGGGCAGTCTGGACTTCCTGTGAGTGAATATCCAATAGTGAACAGAAATGGATTTACACAAGAAATATGTAATATGTTCATGTGTCAATCTAATGTTACAACCATGAATAGTGTATGTCTGTGTTGTCAGGGTTTGGATGGACTTCTGGGTCCAAGAGGGCAGCAGGGCATGTACGGGCCAAAGGGAGATGAGGGTCTGCGAGGTTTCAAAGGCTCCCGAGGACCCACGGGTTTACAGGTACAACAGTGTGTGTTTTCTGACCAAGCCTTAAGGCTGACACATTGTGTTTACAGGGGATGCCAGGGACGCCTGGAGAGAAGGGCGAGAGCGGACATGTCGGACTCATGGTACTTTCCTCTTTTGACTTCCGGTTACACCTCTACTCTAATCTACTTCAATAGTTTGTTCCTAATGGCCTTTACATGTACTTCAGGGTCTTCCTGGTCAACAAGGCCCTGTTGGCTCTCAAGGACCAGTAGGGGGGCAGGTAAGTGTGATCCAACTTACTTTAACAACTCTATTGGTTAATATATTTGGAATGATACAATACATAACATAAACAATTTCTCTGTGGAGTGCAACACTGGTTCAGAAATGACTGAACAGGTGCTTATAGGCTTGAGTCTTGGATAAGGTGGCAGCACTGATCTAAATACTGTATGCTCAGATATACTAGTATACAACTTGTCTTATCCATGTGTTCTAGTCCCATATCACAAGGGACTCATCTAATACCACACATGTGCTGTTAATGACCCACAGGCTTGAAACTTTAGCCAAAGAATACAATGATTTGATGAGCTTTAAAAATCCTCTATCAATATCATAAGTGGGCTGCCACAATACCAAACTTGAGTGTTCTGGAGGACGGCCTCCTCCAGCTTCTTTCCATGGAAACATTACTCCAAAGACGTCATCCTGAGTCCTGATCTCCATTTTACCTGAATGTCCTTCTTTTTCATGGTCTGTCCCGAGGAAAAAAAAATTCTCCGGGACACTGATGCGTAAAACCCATAAAACCTCCTTTGCAGGGTAAATATTAATGACGTTGTCATTGGCACGTCTGATATTGTGTGGCGGTACAGCGGCACTCTGCAGACAGCAGACACAAGACAGACAGATAGCAGAGCACCTTTGAAGTTATTGAGAAAAAGCGTACAAAATGGGTGGAGAGACAAAGGATGACAATGCTACACAAGCTGACAGTCAAGAAAAAAGTTCAAGACATTCATTGAAGAGCAGCAAGGACTGACAACAGCAGAAAAGAAAAACACCAAATGCGTATAAATGGAGGAGTAATAGGTGAGTAAATTAAATCCAAATCAAGCTTAAACCAAGTAGTCACTATGTGTGTGTGCGTAGTTATGTCAGTTACATGTCCTTCTATATAGTGTATTTGTTTTGCTAAGAGCAGTGAGAAGTAGAAAAAGCAAGTACAAGCTGCGTAGGTTTCCTCCGGGTACTCCGGTTTCCCCTACCACAAAAAATATGTACAATAGGTCTGGCATGCCCCCGCTGAAAGATCAAGGCTATGCTCACACTCAGAGAGCAGCCGTCCTCCTGTGGACTCACCACCTGCAGAGGGTCAGTGAGGGGCTGGTGCTATGAGACTTGGGTGGCATCTCTGATTGCCACCCCCCTGACCCAGAAATGGATTAAAGGGTAGAAAATGGATGGATGGAGGTCTGGCATGCGCCTCCTGTTTGGCGAACCCCCCTCCCATCTCTGTGTGGAGTGAGAGGACAAGTGCCCAAAAAATAACAATTGTAAACCGCTTTGTGACTCTGGTCTGTGAAAGGCGGTGTATAAAAAAAAGATTACTTACTTACTTACTTAGTACAAGCAAAGCACACACCACTGTCTAAGCAGGTAAGTTATTCCTCACTACCAGAGAGTGAGAGTGCGCTGTGTCAAAGAAACTTAGCAAATTTAGATATAGTTTTTTTTCCACATCCCACTACTGCCCCCAGGTGTCTACAACCAAAAACGGTTGGAATTGAGCCAAGAATTAATAAAGACTAAAGCAACTAACTGAATAAAAATGGTAGAAGAATAGTGTTAAAATACATTACTATTGAGAAAATAAAATGGCTCTATCACAAGATTAAGTCTAAATTTGGCTGTAGTAGGCAATATTTGTCTTGGATTAAATGTGTGAAAGCCAAGGTGCTGCTGCTTTTGAGAAAATGGGTTGATCAGGTCGCTGAAATGTCCATGAATTTTGTCAGAGATCGGTGGTAACCCTAAATGTGTCACAACAACAGATCATGTGACCAGAGTGCGGAAGTATTGTCTGTAACGCTGCTGCTTCCTGTTCGTTCTGTGTATCGAAGCTCTTGTCCGGAAACCGGATTCGTCCGGAAGTTCAGTTTGCGCATGTCAAAAAGTGTAATAAGTCCTTAAATGGTGACTGGTTAAGTTTTAGGCGTCTGATTAAGATGGTTAAGGTTAGGGTTAAGGCTGGGTTGGGGTTATTTTATGGGAATGGCTGGTTAAGTTTAGGCATGAATAGGTAGTTTGTTATATTTACTTCCGCTTCCGTCCAGATTCCGTAACGTAATCCATTGCTGCGTATGCTCATTGGATCAAAATCCAGTTTCCGGGACGAATACGGGAGTGACACTCTTCTTAGGACTCCATTTGAGCCACTCCCTGCCGTCTCACCTCACACGCCCCTCTCCATCTGCTGTACCATCCCTGTCTCCTCCTGAGACTCTAACTTCTAATTTGTATGTTCAGGTTTGCATGAATGCAACCGTGTCTTTTTGATACAAAAAACAAAGTATGTGTCAAGGCCAATTGTTAAGTAGCTGCAGTGATTATATTTGTCCATCAGGTGTCAGTGTTTGTTGACAGACTGATACAGTGTTGCACGTGTGAAACAACAACAAGAAAATTGTCACTGCTTCCATTCCCCTTCACTAATTTTTTCTAAGTTCAGATGGGAGATAGCTGATACACCATGGATCACGATAGGGAATACTGTCATTGTGTCCTTAGGCTAGACATGTCACCTAGTTCAGATCATCTGTTATATGTATAGCTTACCACCACCATGTGTGGACTTAATGAAATTTGCAATGTAAAAAAAGTATTTGAATATAGGGACTATATATGTTTTAAACATTGGATTATTAACATTAACAATAAACGCCACCAAAATAATAAAAAATAAAGGAAGATACAGTCAGATACTGTTGTGTTGAGAGCTCAAACATGTCCTTTTCACAGGGCCCGCCAGGCCGTGCAGGCATGATTGGGCAGTCAGGCATTGTCGGAGAAAAGGTAAGCCAATAGTGTGACAGTAGCAGAAGTTTTCCTTTAAAAATGTTATGTAACTAAAGAACGTGAGGTGTTCAGGGGGAGGACGGAGAGGCTGGGGACCCTGGGCCTGTTGGCTTAGCTGGAAGAATTGTGAGTTTACATTAACATATTTTATATGTGTATTTGTTCCACTGCTAAACTCTATATGTTTCAGGGAGATAAAGGGGATCATGGAGAGAAGGGTGACACAGGGGCCCCTGGAGCTGCTGGTCCTCCAGGTGCCAGGGGCCCTACAGGAGAAGACGGAGCAAAGGGCAATGCTGTGAGCACTTCTGGCATTATCAATCAATCAAGATGTGCTTTTCAAAACAATGACAAAAATGTTGTACAAAAATTATAATTAGATTTTTAGCAGAGCAATGACTATTATTTACATGAAACTCAATTTAGCTGTGGGCCGCATCAGCTCAAGTCTGGATGAAGCTGAGCCGCATTAAGGGTTATATACAGAAGTTTTCCCCAACCCTTTTGAGTCGTAGCACACCTTTGTCATGGCTAAATATCACATGGCACACCACCAACTAAATTTGATACTAAAGTAAAACTCTACAGTCTTTATTCAAAGCAAAGTCACTCTCATCAATGTGCATTATGTCGCAAATCAAGACGAATCAACAAGCACAAAAAATTGTTCTAATCATCTCACATTATTTTCTTTTCACATGATTTTGACCAAGCAGTTGATATACTGTATTCTAAGGCACATTAATAAACATCTCAGGGCACACTAACGTCCCACGGCCCACTGGTTGAAAAACACTGATATACAGTACAGATCAAATGTTTGGACACACCTTCTCATTTAAAGAGTTTTTTTATTCTCATGATTATGAAAATTGTAGATTTACACTGAAGGCATCAAAACTATGAAGGAACTCACATGGAATTATGTACGTACTAAAAAAAAAGAATGAAACAACTGAAAATATGTCTTATATTCTGGGTTCTTCAAAGTAGCACCTTTTGCTCTGATTACTGCTTCGCACACTCTTGGCATTCTCTTGATGAGCTTCAAGAGGTAGTGACCTGAAATGGCCTTCCAACAGTATTGAAGGAGTTCCCAGAGATGCTTAGCACTTGTTGGCCCTTTCGCCTTGACTCTGGTCCAGCTCACCCCAAAACCATTTCAATTGGGTTCAGGTCCGGTGACTGTGGACCCAAATAGCCCTCACACAGCCTGGGTGTGAATCTACAGTCAATAGTCATGAAAAGAAAGGCAACTCATTGAATGAGAAAGTGTATCCAAACTTTTGATCTGTACAGTATATCATCTGTGTTTGCTTTAATATATGAACTTTGAGCAAATGAATCTATGCACTTGCAAATAATATTATTATATTTGAATTCATATGATGATAATTATATCTATATAATTAAGCCACAAAAACTGCTCAAACTATTCTAATTTGCATTTGATGTATAGCTCCTGGATTAATAAAAATACCCATATTTTTCCAACTGTGCCTTTCTCTCATTCTGTAACAATAACAGTACAGAAAGTATATGTTTGTGCTTGTAAAACAGAGAGACAGACAAATAATTGCTTTCATCAATATGAAATGAGTACAGTTGCTTAGATTGAATCAAAACTGGACCAAAGGCAGTCATTCTTTGTATTGTAGATTGCTGAGCTGCATATTTTTTTCTAGTAATTATCATATATTTTATATTAATTATTAGATTTAGGGTTAATGATACTACAAATTAGCTTGAAAATGATCTACAACGTACCATATAAATCTAATCTCTCAATGGGGGTGACACTGACATTATATGTAATCTATGTGACATTCACCTTTTTAGTATACTGACCAAATCTATTTACATCACAGAAAGCCATCAGTAAAATGTGTGATCAGTAATTTGATTACTTTTGAATTAAAGAAACTAAAGTAGTTCAGGTCACAGTAATCTGATTACTTTTCTAAAGTAACTTGACCAACACGGGCTGTGGATGAAATGTTTTATGGTTCTGTCCGTAGGGTCCCATTGGCCTCACAGGAGATCTCGGACAGCAGGGAGAGGCAGGCCCCAATGTAAGTATATTGTAGATAATAATATTGTGGTGACTTACACATAGTTATTGTTACTCAAACACAAAGTGTCCACTTGTTGTGAATCTGAAAGTGAGAGTATCAGTTGAGAACACAACCATTCATAGACATGTCGTTTAACCAAAAGATCTGTTGGGCACATAACTACCAACAATATATTCTGTGTCATAGCATAATTCCATAAATTATATTTCAATGTTTTAAAAAAACAAAACATAAACATACAAAAACAAAAACAAAAAGTGGTATGTTTTATTGAATCACTATTTGGACAAATAATTTGGAAAAAAATATGCTGTGAGGTTTACAATGTGAAAATCAGTCAACATCCAATGTTGAAGACAGAACAATGTGGACTAAAGCTCACAAATTTGATTTAACCCAGTGAGGCCAGGAACGCATTCCCGCATTTCTACCTTTCGAGCCAGGAGCGCTGTTGTGCACTTCTACCTTCATGGCCGGGAAAGCGGACACGTCTGTTTATCTTTTTTGACCTACTAGCCGTGTTTTCACCGCAGGAATTCCTGATAAAAGTGGAACTTTTACAGGAGCCTTCCTCTCCCTCGGTCCTCTCAGTGGTTGTGTCTCCACTGCAGAGTAGGACCACTTGGCGACGTCCTGAGTTTCAATTCGGGCGTTCTGCTCTCCCAAAATTTCATCCACTGAGCGGCGCTGTGATCAAAAAATGACACCGTTTGTTGCCCAGTTCACTTCCGGTTGATTTCATACAATGGCGAATATGGCTCACGAAAACAACAAACGATTGACAGTGCCTGAATTGCGTGAAAGGTTGAAGCGAAAGGGTATTTGCAGTGTGGGAAAACGAAAGGAGGAATTGTTGTTGCTAGTTCAACGAGCGGATGGTGTTTATGAAGATTTAGAAGAAGATGACAGCGAGCAGAGTGAACGAAAACGGCTGTGTGTGCGAGTGACAGATGGTAACAATGAGAATGAAGTTCAGCTAAGAGGGAAGAATGTGAATTGGACGGATGATTTGCGCGATATGCCACTAGTTAGAGACGGGAATGTATTTGCATACAGAAAATGACGAAAACACTCAACCATTTAGAGAAAATGCGCCGGGCAGAGAGAACCGGAAGTTGCGAAGGCAAGTGTTACCCATAATGCAACGCAAAATTCAGTCGCTCCCCCGCCCATCGGATGGAATTTTGGGAGAGCAGAACGCCCGAATTACCCCGTAAGTGAAACTCATTACGCCAAATTAATTTGTTTATTTTACGGTTGAAACCGCTCCGGTTGTTGTGGTCTTTGAGTTTTTTTATAGTCCTGCGTCAGTTTTTAAAAACTTTTCACGGCTTGTTTGGAAGTGTGAGGAATCCCCGGTGCTTCGAGGTTAATCTGATATGTTTTAATAAATCTTTTCATTTTGGCGCGATGTCTCAAACCCCGTCTGAATCAATCCCGTGCTGTTTTTCTCTGTTTCCAGTGGTGTCTGCTGGGCTAATGTTGCTGGGCTAATGCTGCTAGGCTATTGCTGCTGAATGCAGATTGCTTTGGTGCTTTCTCCTGGCGTCAGAGCCTGTGTTAGCTTTAGCCAGTCAGCGCCGGGTTAAACCTCAAGTCCCACTAGGGCCGTAAAAATGAGAGGCACCTGGCTGCAGCCCCCCCCCTTGCAGACCTCCCTGCTCAGCCCCTGTCACATGACCTACTTCAGGAGCCCCTGTTACGTGACCTCCTTCAGGAGCCCCTGTCACGTGACCTTCGCCATGAGCTATTGTTACGTCACTTCCCTGGGACTTGAAAACGTTTTTCTTCATAAAGTTATAAAGCTTATATTTAACTTATAGTATATATTATGTAACAAACAAAAATAGTGACGTTTGTTCCACAAATTGTGACCAGGTATTATGTATATGAGCGATCGCTGTTTTCATCCGGGCATTTGGGATGCCAAAGGACAATTCTGTTGCCATTTGTTTACAAGAGCGCCACCTACATGTCACCCGTAGTATGACATGAAACATGAAAAAACGTCTAAAAGACAATATATATGGTAGGATATTATTATCGCAACAACATTGAAGTGATAATATGTAACTCTAAATTAATTACACATTTTAAGAATTGTAGTAAATTGACCTCTTGGCCTTAAATGTTGATATAAAATAAGTCATTTTATTAATTCTAATATTACAGTGAAGTCCCACCTTCCCTTCTCTTAGCTCAGAATCCACGATGCCGTGGATGATTAACCAATCGAGGCTTGCCAAGGGCTGTCAATCATCAGCGCTGATGCTCGTAGCTCCGCGCATGCTCAGTTGTTTGTTTTCGCGGAGCCTCCGAATCAAGCCTTTATAGGCTCTGGAACTACATGAAAACTGAACAATGAATTCTGAACATCTGCGCTGAGTGTCTCATTTATATACTGAACCTATATCCATAATCAGATCCTCTGCAGATGTGTCCTATAATGTGCAATTAATGATAATCTTCCGGGTTTGCCGCCATCGTTTTTTGTGCATTAAAACATTATTTTTTTCATGAAAACGTTAACAAATAATTCTGAAAACTTCCGTGCATGTGTATTAATAACGTATATGTATAATGTGTTCTCTCATTAACATTTAAATGTGTTACGGAAACGTAGGTGTAGACCAATCAGAAAGGAAGGGGGAGGGAGCTTGCGTCGTTTTTTTCAAATCAAGTACCTCTCTCTCTCTCTTTCTGACAAACTGCAGACAATCACTTTAAAGTTACATAGGTACCCAATATTTATTTTGTTCTATTAATTTCTAGATGAATAAGAGTTAGCTTGACCTATAGGTCTACACACATTTTTGATTTTCCTACCGTTCTGTAACTTGTGATGCAATACTGAACATTCCCCTTTTGTGGTGAATAAATTATCTCGATGATAAAGCCGTTCAAATATTTAATATGCATTCACAATACAACACATAACCCCTTTTATCAACACATTCAACAGAAAAGAGTTCCATGTCCTCAATCCGAGAGAAGACAAACTTGAAGGGCTCCAAGATGTTCTCATGCTCCTCACTGTCCGGGTCAAAACCGGTCTCCCTAAACTGAGGGAAGTCTGCTTGAGCCTTAGCTGCTTCATCTCCTTCCCAGTCCAGCACAGGAGGAAATTGTATTCTTCCGAAGAATACTGACAAGTTGTCCTTTGCCCAGCTTGCTGCCATTTGACAATCTTTAGGACTTTTAAGTCTAGATGTTCCTAGAATGAAGAC